AATGTTGCACATATCCACAGAAAATGTTCTGTGTCTTTAAGGATGAGGAAGAATGTTGTGGTTTTTGCCAGGGCGTTTAGATCAGTGCCCCTGCAGTCAGTCACACATGCACAGTTTTAGGTCAGCTCCCTGTCTCTCCTTTTGAAGCTGGCTTTCCGACTTCATCCTTTCAGACAGGCGTCCCATGTCACATGTGCATCAGATCATTTACTTTGTAGGTATTCCTCTCATTAAATAATCAGCAAACCCCCTAACTCGTTGGGCAAATGGAGCATTTGCATGTGGCTAGGTCTGGTTCCCGTTTCATACGTTTGTTTGTTACCCCAGGGAGCAGGAGAGAGGGAGGGGTTCATTTTGTGCCTCCCAAGAAGGCCCAATGGTGCACACAAACATATTAGACTTATATTGTGCCTTGCAAAATAATAGTAGCTGGTGGAAAGAAAATCTGAAAGTCTTGCGCAACTAATAAGATATGGACAATTGTCAGCAGTTACAGTGTCCGGATGTGCCATTTCCTGGCATTGTTGATAAAAGCATTTTCTGAGAGGCTTATTTATGTAACTTATAATGTTTACAAACAGCGAAAGAGAACAGTGCATATATATGCATTATTTATATATATAATTTTTATTTCATTTCTAAAATAATTTATAATATGCATTTTATAACACATCTTGAGTAAAAAAAGTATATACATAAAAAATACATCCCCCCCCCACCCCACACACACACACATCGAAAAACAAACGACTTAACATTAATGTCACAAATGTACTAAGTTTGCCAGAACATGACATAAAGAACACACATTTGCATACGTCTCACACAAAATGTAGATTGCTGCACAATTACATCTTTTCATTCTCATTGTCTTGCCCTAATCTTGGCTCAATGAACCCCCTAGTGGTGAAGAACCACCGCAGCAAGTTTCAGTGAGACAAGGGATCAATAGTATCCTACTTTATTGGATCCAGATTTGACCGTCAGAGCCACAGATGAATGAGTTTTGTAGTCTGGTGAGCGGCGCACGTCGAGTTCGGGCTGTCAGACACGTATGGTGGGGGTTTTGGGGAACGGAGGGGGGCCCTCAAAAGCAAATGCCTGAGGAAAAAAGCATGGCATGGTAAACCTGAGAGTCCTGCCTCACTTCCCCGGGAACAACATGCTCTCTCACAGGGCCGGGCTGTGGACAGAAATGAGAGGTGACAGCGTATTCATTTCAGTTGCTGCTTTTCTTTAAGGGCCCTCTAAAAGCCTGTTGAATGATGAGTGGTCAGAGGATTTATTGAGGAGAGATGATTTTAAAATTTCTTAGATGAGGTGTGCAGTCATTTGCCATGACTTGCTGTTTTCCCCCAAGTATTTATTTATTTGTCATCCACATGGCTCTATTTCACCTGGCTAGTCTTAAATGCAAAGATTAATGGCCTGGAGTTTCACTGAGGCTTGGTGAATGAAATTAGAACAGATATTACTAATAATTGTGACTTGGTGCTAAGTCTGGGTAAAAATTTTGATTTTAGATTAATGCAGTCTTTATTTGAACGATCCCTACACAATGTACACTGACATCAGCGGACAAGGGAAGTATATATAGCCCTATAAATTCTGTGAAAGACGTTTTTTATCGATGATAACTTCTGGAGAGAAACAATGCAGACACTGAACAAGGATTAAACTTTCTAGTGCGCATGTGTCGAGCGCGTGTTCATGCATGTTGGAGTAGCCTATACTTTGAAAGGCTGTGCATTCGGTTGTATGCAGACACTAGCATTCGTGTCAAGACTGCTGTATGTTTTTGGTTTAACTCAACCAGTTGCATAGTTTGGGCCCTATTTTAAATTAATATTTTTGTAATGAGCAAAGTTCGATTACCTGTATCAGTGTTTTGTGTTCCGGCTCTACCTTAGTCCACTCTGAAATAAATAATAATTTATGTTAGTTTACAGTAATGATGGGAGAAACTAAGCTTTTCGAAACTAAGCTTTTCGAAACTGAATGATTCACTTTTTCAATGTACCTGAAACGCCACCTGCTGGTCAGAACAGTGCAAATGCAACAGCAACTCAGCTCAAACATGCATAAAAGCACTTTTTACAAACCAAATCTCAAATATGTTATTGAAAGTGTATGCATAATATGTGTTATTTTATTAAATTGTAGGGCTTGTTTTGTTTACTTTATGTACAGCTTGGTTAATCAGGCCAATGTGAGACTAATAACTACAACTGTTCCTTTATGTTATACAAATAAGTCATTAAAATATCTACAAACTTATAAAATCAAACCTAAAAGGCAAAAACCATATTGACACTGGTTCACAGTGATTGTACCTTGTTGCGAACCACTTGCGAATCACTGCTCCATATCACTGGTTCAAAACAAGTGATTCCCAAAGGTTTCAAAGCTTCACAAAGCAGGGTTTCATTCGTTTTCATTCTTGTCAGTGAAACTGCACGACCAGTAGAGGCAGATTTCCAAAAATAATGACTCTTATTATGAGCTGGTTCTTTGAATGAGTAGTTCAAAACGTGCATTAACGGTTTGAACTGGTCTGACAAACTATAATTCCCAGCCATAAAGAGAGAATTTCTTCTGAGCATAATGGACATTTTTCAGTAACTAAAATCCCTAAAGTCCCTAGATGGCATGTTAGGATGTGATCTACTATGCAATTTAGTTGCCACTTTATAGTTTGCAATAATTTATTTGCACTTTATAGCTCTAACTTATATATTTCTGTCTGAAAGTCTGATTAAACCAGATGTGTGACATTACTGAGAGGTCATCTATTGCTTCATTTGGATGGAGCGAACAGCGGTGATGATTGGTGTCTTATTAGAATTTCAGCGCTTTCACTGGTAAGGCTTTACCTTTATAAATGCTCTCTTATAAACCTACCAGAGTGGTTTAATTTCCCTTTGCAAATTCTAATGTCACGCATGAGTGGTCTGCTGTTTGCATAAAGATACATTTCCAGATCCGGTTTCACTTGTCTGTGAAATTCATATTACCAACCATGAATCTAGAGAGTTCACACTCAGCACACGAAATCCATGCGAGGCTTCATGAACGAGGACAGGAAAAAACGGACAGCTTCTCCAGGTGTTCATAACTAGTCTCTATGTAGCTTTATGAGGGCTGAGGGAGTAGAATTTGAGATTATGAGTCACACCATTTTGCAGAGCGTCTTCCATTCTCCTGTGCTGAAATTACTGACGTTTAAGTACGAATGAGCCTGATTGTGCTTCAGTTTAGTAAAGCCCTTGGGTCTATCCTGTTGCGTGTGGGCCTTGACGGGGTTAGCGTGAAAAGAGTTGCCCTGCCTTCACTGGTGCCGGCATCTCATTTACGCATCCCCCCCTGAGAACATAGAGAGATGTAGAAAATGAGATATCTTCATCTCTGCTGCTCTCTTGCTCCTCTAGTTAAATAAATAAGGCATTACACTGGAGGACCCAGGCCTTCATTACTACATACTTGATGTAATCAGACACGTCTGTGTGTTTCTGCATATTCCTAAATAGACAGATATTAGAGAGGTCCCAGGAGGTGAAGCTGAACCTTTGAGATAAGTCTACTAACGCTAGCACCAGCCACGGGGGCTGATCATAGATGGGATGCAGGAATCCGGCTCGTGAGATGCCAGATCCCTTGAGAGACAGTTACATTTTTAATCGTTTTATGGAGACTGATATGGTTCAGATCTTCCCTTTCCTTGAGTGCAATTCTGACCCCCTTAAGCTTTAATTGCTAAAACATCATTCAGTCCCGAAAAATTCTAAATATAAAGAAGCTTTTGTCTAATGGAAGAGCCCGGTCTCATGAAAGTGCGTATAAATAGTACTCCAAATAAAAACGAAAACTCGTGGTATTGATGCGCAAAAATTGACTTTGGCGTGTATATGCTACGCACGTGTTTAGCGTGCATATAATACGCAGTTTTCGCATGCGAAATTTGTTGGCGTGCATATGATGCGCAGTTTTCGCGTACATATGATACGCATCTACCCCACAACCCTAATCCTACCCATCGCGTAGCATATACACGCCAAAGTCAATTTTTGCGCATCAATACCACGAGTTTTCGTTTTTATTTGGAGTACTATTTATACGCACTTTCATGAGATCGGGTTGAATGGAAAGGTTCCAATGGATGTTGAACTAAAGAACGTTTATTTTTAAGACCACTGCAATTGAGAGCAGTATTTATGAATCGTGCTTTTTTTTCATTCCTTTTACATTTGTCTGTCTAGATCTCTTAGTTCACTTATTACTGAACTTGATATGATTACAGTAACAACTTTAAAGCAACAAGACAAAGGAGAGAAAAAAAAAACCAGTTTCTGTGAACTAACCCTGTTTATTGTTTCTCACTCCTGTCTAAAGGGATGGAAGTGCGTCACCCAGATGTGTTTTCAGTCCCGACATCTGTAAAATTCCAGGAGCTACTCATGCAGGAGTTAGTGAAGTGAACAGGGTCAACCTAACAGGAAAGAGACGCTCACGGGTGACGCGTGGAAGTGACAGGAGCCCACTGAGCGCGTTCATCCTGACGAGCCATCGATAACATTAAATATTATTTTAAATGCATATTTCCAAGCAATAACTACCACGAAGCACAAACTATGTTTTGTGCTAAACTTATTTTTTGTGCCGTTTTGTTTTGGTATTTTGTGCTCTGTGTAAATGCTCGTATAGTTTTCGAAATGGCATGAATGCATGAAGTAGCCTAAATATCCAAGTGAATGAATGAATGAACTGTCTTTTGAATGTTTATGTCTGCAGAAGACTCGGATGTCTTCCCGTACTCTTCACGCTTTCCCCCCTTCTCTCGTCCTCTTTTATGGTGCTGTGCTCATTTCAGTCAGATTTCCCTTATTTCACAGTTCAGTGGATGTTCAGGGTGAGCTCGTGCTTCCTCATTGGTCGTTGCTCTCCAATCTCACTTTCCCCATTCATGCATCCCTCCTCTCCTCCTCTCACGCCTCCTCCACATAGCTCACATGGCAATCACTTTCAGACGGGACTAATTATTTCAGACTGGAAAAGCGTTCAGAAATACCCAGTGATAGAGACAAGACAGGTGAGTATTCCGTGTTTGAGGTTAAGCGCTGCAGAAGTTGAGCCATGCGCGTTCTTTCTAATCGACCAGAAAGTTGTTGTCGCTTTTTTTCCGGGATAAAAACACATGCACGTGGAGCTATTTTCCATTAGCGAATGATTTGATTTCCTTGTCCACTTTGGAATGTCGCTTCTCTGCTCGTTTCCACTGTGTTGACAGCCGAGAGAGACGTTATTTGATGGATAACACGAACACGCTAGGTAAAACGCTTCAAATGAAACACTAGACGCTCTTGGTCCTCTTCGGAGGAGAGGCGATGCTGTTACTTAACAGTCCCGTTGAGCCTCCAGTCACTTAATTGGCCACAGATGCGGAATTCTATGCTCTTTTACCGTTTAGAAATTGGATGCATTTGGGAAAGTTTATGAGGCTTGCCCAGCTCTCGCCCGCAGCAGCCCGAGGTCTGACGCTGCGAATATAAATCGAGCGAATTATAAGATTCCTGATTTATTCATTACGGTCAGTGCGTTCAGGTATCGACATGACAACATCTCACTCCTTACCGACAACTGACGAATGCATTTTCATTTCCACCTTTACCGAGTTGCACTGATACGTCCATCATTCTATGTTTTCCGTTTATTAACACGTTATTCGATCTAATGTAAAGCGTGTAAACGCATAATTATATGTGGCATCTAGTCTTGATGCTTCACGCACAGATTGATTTAAAATGAATGATTCAGGAGTTAAGTGCAATGCAATGCAAAAATAAAAATAAGTAAAAATCAAAGTGACAACTTGCAGTCATAAATGTACTACCCCTTTTAATTAGTGGTGAAGAAAGTCGTATTGGCACTGAAAACGTGAATAGAAATAAGAGAAATTGCAGTAATAATGGATTGAAACAAATGCGGACAAAATGATGCATGAATATATAATGCATGTTTTTGCAGTGGTTCGGGAAAGTAAATTGGTTGTTTTTTTTAGGCTACATCAGGATGCAATAGTTCACTCTTATCACACCGTTGTTCTTGATAAATCCTCACTCAATGATTATAGCCTCTAAAAAAATGATAAAAAACAACTTTAAGACAGTCAATTGCCAATGCACAAATCAGGACGATTTGCGAGAAATAAAGTTCTGTTATGTTTCTTTATTTCTCTTGCTGTGTTTTGATATGGCCATCAGTTATTTTCATAGTGCTGCTGAACTGCTGTGGAATGTTAAATAATGCTATTGCCAGTCTGCTCTGTGATTGCACGCCGAAGGAAAGGCAAAAGACACCGTCCCCGAGGTGCCCTTTCACCCGAGACTTTGTAAGCTACACTTATTAAAACGAAAAGTGTTTCAATATGTGGCTGCTCTGAACGTGAAAGGGGCTGGGCCTAATTGACATATCTTACACAGCCTTGTTTCATAAACACATTCAAAAACGAAAGATGATGAATGAGAAAAGCAAACAAATATATAACTGATGTTTTGATTATTATAGCATAACATATCAAAATTATTATTATTAATAATATTAATTCTGCATGTACTGCCACCTGTAGCCAAAATAGGCTACTTGAAATGGAGGCCTGTGCAGTGAATTAGAAAAAATAAATAAATAAAAAAACCCCGGAGGGATGAAAGGTATAGGCTACAATTATTAGGAATAAATGCAGCTCTGTTTAACACTCGTGCCCCTCATATAAGCTCATGAACCAGATCTGACCTCTCTGTTTAGATTACTGGATGTGGTTTAACTGGAAACCAACGTGCCCGTGGCTACTATTCACAAGAACTGCTGCGCTGCCAATTATTTTACAATTATACATGGTGCAGGTAAACACAGAGAATGCAGAAAAAATAGCTTCTCTCTGTCGAAATTAAAATATCACTCTAGGGCATAAAGAAAAGCATTTCGCAGAAACTGAGACGGAAATCAATTTTGAGAAGAACTGGCATGGCGAAAGGGAAATATGCTTTTTTTTTTTGTGCTGATTTGTGAGAGATGGGAATTCATGAATTGCTGAAAGATAATGAATGAATTCGTTTGCTTCCGAAATTTAGCAGATGAAAACTGAAATTAAGTTACATTTCCGAGCTTAATGTGGGACGGTTGTTTTAAGCGCGGCAGTCGGAATTAAATCAGAATTAAGAAATAGCCTAATTTGGCTAAATTAGCTATTTTTCTAATAATAATAATACTTATTATTATTATTATTATTATTATAGACGTTTAACTCTGGCATATTTATTTGTTAGTTTTGACAGTCTAAACCAGTTTCCTCTAAGATGACCTGTGGACTTGTTTTTTTTTAAGGGGTCGTGAAGTGAACATCACACATTTCCGGGCTCTCTGTCCAATGAGAATGTTTCAGACCGTCCCCGACACGTCGTCTTACGTCAAGGTAAGACAACATCGTCACTACGAGCAGGTAATGTCGGAGGAAACAGAGTGGAACTTCTAAATTGCCTTTTTCCTCTTCCAAGTTTCATTGATGACTGATGTAAACGGCTTGAAAAAAAACCGCGGTTTTCCGGATACACCTCTCGTCATGTTTGACTTAAAATGAATGAGTTAATTGGTTTACAACACATCTGGTAGAGTGTACACTGTCTGCCTAGCTTAGTCTTAAATTTGATCTGGCCATTGAACGAAGGGACAGGCCATCTCTGACCTTAAAACATGTTACTTATTGCACATTATTGTATTTGACTTGGTGCTTTCTCTCTCTCTCTCTCTCTCTCTCTCTCTCTCTCTCTCTCTCTCGACATGGTCTTAAAGAATGTAAACATTGCAAATGGCAGACATATGTTTTTGCATGAACTAAGTTCGACAATCCATACATAGGGAAGTTTCCATTTAGAACTCGAACTGTTTAAGGAATCTCTACAGATGGGTTTTGGGTCTTCATTGATTATGTCACTTATACTGAATTGCTCACTTTCTGGTGCTAACATGGAGTTCTATAGGCTGCCAATTTATGAAGGG